ACCCTGAACACTGTGAGTGTTTTGTTCTGTGGTTGTGTTTTCGTTGGTTGTTGGTTCTTTTTTTTGTCAAGAAAGCTTTTCCATTTCTAGCTGGTGTAGGTGTGTCCCTTTTGCATTCCCTTTTCATGGCCATCCTGGAGAATTAGCTTTGGTTGAATAAATGACAATGGAAACAATTAATTTAAGCTAGTTTTGAATTCTATTGTGAGAGCCCAACAACTCTTGATCTTGAGAGATGTGTAGTAAGATTAGTGTAGAGTTGCCAAGCATTAAAAAATCTGGAAACGAAATTTCTTTAGAATTAATGTAATTAGCTAAATGACTTGAAGTGATGCAGAGGATGTAAAACTACAACATTCTGGGAGAAAATCTTCTGCATGACATTCCGGGTTATATATTTCTTGTCTCAAGGAATGCTATTTCTGATGAAGTGGCAGATAGAAGACCCCATTATTTTAGGATTGCTTTGTAATAAGGGATGATAAGCCAGCAGAAAATAAATTTGCAATCACTGCTGATAATACTCTTGTTAAATCCATTTGTTCCCTTCCTCTGACCATCAAAGCCCTAAGTATGGAGGGGAATGAGAGGTCCTCTGTGCAGAAAGGAGCAGGATTATGTTGAAAAAAATAGGGGCAAAGAGAGAGAGCAGAGAAAGACAGGCTGCTGCTCAGATGGGAAGCAGGAAGGTGAGGTTCAATCATCACCTACAAGGAACAGAAAAGGACTGGATTCCCAAGTCATAACAAGAGAGCTGAAGATTGTCGTGGCTGCTGATTCTGTGCTGCATTGCAGAGTTGTCTCTGGGGGGTTCTTGGTGCTGACTCATTAACTTGGTGCTGACTCATCTACAGAGCAGAGCCTCAAAGAATTGGTTTGTATTTCCTGTGTAAAACAGAAAAGGGAAGATACTCTGAAAAAAGAATGGCCTGAGCAGTGAAGGGCTTCTTTAAGCTCTCATGTGCTCTGTGTGTGATTTGCACAGCACAGGAATGTTCAGCAGTGACAGGTGTGAGATTTTGCTTTGGACTCTTAAACACCTGCTCATCAGAGGTCTCAGAAGATTGAACTCAGAGAAACAAGTCACTGAAGGATCCCTGACTTTGTTTCAATGCATTCCTCATTTACCCAGTGAATCCGAAAAATCGGTCCGAGAAACTGCCCAGAGACTTAGATCTTTTGAGCAGCAAAGGTATTTATTAGCAGCACTGGGAGCAAGCCAGCTATAGGGTTGACAATCCTTTTGTATACTTGATATGTTTACTTGAAGGTTTATTCAAACTCTTTTCGGTGAGTATGTGGGATCTAACAACAGCTTCTGCTCATTTGAGTGCCTAATTACATACGGTCCAGCAAAAGTTAAATTGTGGACGTTACCACAGGTTGGAGGAGGAGTTGTGGTGGTGGTTGTAGTGGTAGTGGTAGGGGGTTTAGTGGTTGGGATACTTGACGAAGCATTAATTATAAATCTCCTGGTAATATTTCCTTCATCAAGTAACCACATACATAATCCAGAAACTGATTTGTTTAAAATAAAGGCGTGCCAACACTGATCAGAATCACATGTATGTCCACTAATTGCACTTCCAAAATCATTTGGGTAGGTGAGTTTTTCTTGTAATGTGTCTTGTACAGTAACCTCAGTTTTGGGTGACCAGTTGTGCTGGTTTAAGAGTTAACCAGCAGGGGAAATGAACTCAACTCAAAGGAGAGATTATAAGTCAGAATAACAATTTACTAAAATAATACAGTGAGTACAATCATACAAACAAACAATTGGTCTTAACCCACGAAACCCAAATGTATAACCCAGTACCCCGGGGCATGAACAAAGTGATGTTCCTTGGGCCCCACTTGAGTCCAAAGTAAAGGGAGAGGGGAAAAAAAACCTGCTGGTGGGAGAGCTGTTGCAGTCTGGTCAAAAGTGGTGATTGCAGTCCAGTTGAGGGTGGGGGTCTAAGTCTGGTTGAGAGCGATGAGCTGCAGTCTTCCTCTGGATCCCACGAGTGGTTAAAAATGTTTCAAGACTCAGGTTTATATATCCTCCAGTTCAGGCAGGAATGCCCAGTAGTTCCCTCAGGGCGGGGAGTTCCACAAAGGGTGTGAGGACAAGAGCATCCTCCTATCTCACAGGCCTCTTAACACCTAGTTTATAGCCTGAGGAGTCAGGTTCTATGGGCAGAGGGTGCGAATAGTCTATTGACAACAGTTTCTGGGAAATGGCATGGAAGGCTATAGAATACACAGTTTTGGGTTACACCCATACCATGATGAACTGGTCTCAGCTGTCCTAACTAGGACACCAGTCAATCCGTGAAGACGGCTTATATACTCTACATCCAATTCGGGTTTGTTCTCCAATTTTTCCTATTAAAGTACTTGTAGTGTAAGCATAACCAGGGTGGTTCCAGTTATCTAGTACTCTCGCTCCCTGGAGGACTATGACAGATGGATTATACTCATTCAGCTTGCTTGGGTGAACGGAAAGTTCTGGGTCTAGAAAGAATTGTAGACCAGAACTCTCGTTATAGGCTTGGGACCATAATGACTCTTGGGCAAGAATTTGATCAAACACCAATGTACTTATTAGTCCAAAGATCAGCATTGAGGAGGCTTGACAGTAGATGATTCTTCTCCCGAGGTCCATGTTTCCTCCGGAACCCTCTTGACTCGAGAGTAGTGGATCCATGTGGGTTTCTCTTTCACCCAGATCACTATGAAGGTGGTCATCAACATCTGGAAGGGTCCATTCCACTTCTCTCACAGTGGATCTCCTGAAAGATTTCTAACATATACCCAATCACCAGGGTTGAATGGATGTAACTTACAATCAGGCTGCTTGGGTTGATGTTCTGACACTACTGTAGCATTTTTCTGCAATTGTTTCCCTACAGCCATAACATAATCATACACATACTGATTACCAATTTGATCTACAGCTTCACTATTCACAGTTTGCATCACGTAGGGTCTGCCCAATAGGATCTCAAATGGGCTCAATTTTTCTTTTGATCTCGGCTTGACCCTTAGTCTGATTAAAGCAATAGGTAAAGCTTGATACCAATGTAAATTTGTCTCTTGACATATTTTAGCAATTTTAATGCGATGATTAATTTTCTCTACTTGCCCACTTACTTGGGGTCTGTAAGGCGTGTGCAATTGCCAATAAATTTTCAAAGCCTTACTTACTGCTTGTACCGCCTCTGCACAAAAATGTGAGCCCCTATCTGAAGAGATACTCTTAGGCACTCCAAATCTTGGTATAATCTCATTTAACCGGACTTCAACCACTTCTCTTGACTTATTTGTTCTACATGGGAACGCCTCTGGCCAACCAGAAAATGTGTCAGTCAAAACTAATAAATAACGGTACCCCCCTTTTCTTGGAAGTTCAGAAAAATCAATTTGCCAAATCTCACCTGGAAAGCTTCCTCTTTTTATTGCTCCTAGATTAATTTTAAGTTTGGTGTTTGGATTATTTTTCAGGTAGAGTTCACATCGAGATGTGACTTGCTTTATCGTAGTGAACAAATTTGGTCCTGCTACTCTAGTTTTTAAGTGTTGATAGAGTGGATCCACACCACAGTGAGTTTTATCATGTTCTGTTTTCACAAATTGCCATATTAATTTTTCTGGTAATACTAATTGGCCTGTCTTCAATTGACCCCATCCATTTTGTAACAGCTTACCTCTGTTCTTATGTATCCACTGATGATCTGTTTCCTGATACTCTACTTATTGGTCTGTGTCTAATCCCTCTGGGACTAGAGCTGCTATTGGTTGTTGTTCAGTACCTCTTGCAGCAGCTAGTTTGGCTTCTGCATTGGTTTTTCTTTTTCCTATCTCTGGGACGGTTTTGCCTTTCAGGTGTCCCCTGCAATGCATTATAGCCACCTGTAATGGGAGTTGGACGGCTTCTAGCAACTGCAGGATCTCCTCAGCATGTTTTACAGCTTTTCCTTGCATGGTCAATAGTCCTCTTTCCTTCCAGATCGCTCCATGGGCATGTACAACAGCAAAGGCATATTTAGAGTCAGTCCAAATGTTGATTTGCTTTCCCTTTGCTAGTTCAAGAGCTCGTGTAAGAGCTATCAGTTCTGCTTTCTGAGCTGAGTTTCCTGCAGGTAAGGGGTTGGATTCGATTACCTGTTCTGTTGTAGTTACTGCATAACCAGCCATCCTTGTGCCTTGTTTCATGAAACTGCTACCATCCGAGAACCAGTCGTCTGCATCCTGGTGGGGTTCTTCTTTGAGGTCTGGGCGACTGGAGTACACTGCTTCAGTGGTCTCCAAGCAGTCGTGTACGACAGGCTCTGCTGAGGCTTTTCCTTCTAGGAATGAAGCTGGGTTGACAATGTTAGTCACCTGAATGGTCACATCATCTGATTCAGCTAGGATTGCCT